GGAACTCCACAGGCACAGAATGAAAAGGGGGGGGGGGGGCCTTACTGAAGGGGAACGTAAGCTTGTGCTCCCTGATCTGCTCCAGGGTGTCAGGGCCGCACTCGCTGTTGAGGACCAAGAAGGGCGGGGAGCAGATCCGGTCATCTATGTGAGAGAGACACCAAGCGAAGAGTCATGATTAGGGTCATGGCTGCTGTGGTGTAAGAGACGGAGGGTCAGGGGACTGGCCCTGGGGGGGTGCAGCACTTGTACCTTTGAGTTATGTACTTAATTACTGATCGTGGGTCTGACTCATGGACGGTGATGTCAGGAGTCCTTATTTTATCTGGTGATTCATTATCAATCGATTTCTACACAACAGCAGTGGGTGATAATGGATAACAGAACTTCCATGGCCCTTCAAGTAACACAAATTTAAAAAAAATTAGGAGGTCTAGACACAACATGATAAAATTTCGCTCAAGTACCTAAATGTCTCTATAATCCAGTCGTTGTTGTAGTCATAGTCGTGTGTGTGTGTGTGTGTGTGTGTGTGTGTGTAACATGATTAAAACAGACCACTATCTTCTCCCATGGGTCTTTCCGAAATCAAATGCCAAATCAAAATGTAAACAAGCACATTTCAGTTGTCTGACCAGAATCCGCCCACAATATAAGGAAGAATTCTGTGAAAATCCTGATTCACATTTGCCTACATTAACTGCAATGTCACCATACCGCCAACCTACCACCTGCAAACATCTGGTAGGCCTTTAGGGGGCGCTGGCCACACCCTCGACCGACAGGCAGTGCTAAACCTGCCCCGATGTCCCTGATCATGTTCCTCCTGATCAGAAATTTGCAGCGATCGCACAGTTCAGACTCAGACCTCCTTGGTCTAAGGGATGCTGCACAGGCCAGAGTGAGGCACCATTTCTGAACTCTGGCTGTCAGCAGAAGCTCCTCATTCACAATCGTAGCCTGTGATGATCCACCGACTTGCTTAGCATTTGGGACCGAGTCCCCGAGCCAGTTTGAAAGCTTGCAATTCCAGAAGCCAACCCCAGCTACCCCCCCCCCACCACCCAGCTGGCACTACACTGAACTCCCCCAAGGAAAAACAGATTCAACACAAACAGGGATACACTCACATTCCGTATGCCCCCCAAAAACAGCGCCCCCCTACAGGAGACACAGGAAAACGCGTCAAACCTTTTTTCCCCCATGCACGGTTTTCCTCTGTCTGGCTGAACACCTGACTGCATTTTCGCCTTCAGCACGTAAGATCAAACCAGCCATGAATCCGCCCCCTTCTCCCACCACGTCACTACAGCCCAGTGTGTCCAAAAGATGACCCCATCATGACTGGCATCCCCTAAGAAGATTACAGTCGTATTTTAATTAGAAACGCCGAATGTCCAATCACATGAAAGAATCAGTCTAATCTGCGGGAGAGCCGAGGTCCAGAGCAGCGTGAGAATTGGCTGCGTGATGAGCGCTACGGCTTCTTAATTTAATTTACCGTGTAATCAGTCCCACTGCAGGGCCAGAACAGGACCATTTACCTTCAGCGATGGTGCTACCTTTGCAAGGAGCAAATGTCAGCTGGCTAACAGGTAAAGGAGATTTACTGCGGCTAATGTGCCCCCTCCCCCAAATATGTTGAAAAATTAAGGCGGGGTGTGAAGGCGTGGGGGCCAGCGCTCTTTACACACAGTCACATTACACTCCTCAGAACAAGTAAACCAGTTACCCACGTGTTTAACTGGTAAAACTCGCATGTCTTCCTGCATTTATAGAAACCTCTCTCTTAAAAGAATGGAGAGGCACAATGACGAGGATTACACAACAGCAAGCCAGAGATACCTCACCATTTAAAGGCAGACTCTGCCCATCGACGGCACTAATAAATCTTATAGGGGCGTACGGGTGTATAAACAGAGGACGCTGGATTCAACAAACATCAGTAAACCTTCCACTCTGGGACTGCTGCCCACAGAAGGTTAAATGACGAGGAATAACACATGGAGACACGTCGTTTTTGCCGAGGAAACAACTCGGATCTACCGCAGGGTACTGGAACAGCGAAAGGATTCGCTTGGGCTTCGAACCAACGGCCTTCTGGTGACAACCTGTGTTGTTAACCAGCAAAATGTTTCGGGTCAAGATAACCCAGCTATGACCCCCTGGTCAAACTTCACCCTGCCTAATCTGGGGCTCTGAGCAGGACTCCCCAGCGAAGGGGATCACTCCGCCATCCAGACAGCGAGTTCTCAAGGACTGTGGTCACTCTGCTATCCTTGTATCGACCTCCCCCCGCTCTGATTTACTGCGACTCATCTGTCTGCTAAGTGTGAAACTTCCTACTCGTACGCAGGGCTTAGGATGTAGACCCTGTCAAAGAGAGTGTGATCACAGTGGCACACACACACACACACACACACACACACACACACACACATACTCTCCCAGTGGCAACGGCTCCAGCCGCTTTTGCTCAAGGGCTGCTGGGTAAGAGGAAGATTATGGGAAAGTGCTTATATGGGTAGGAGGAATGAACTTCTGAAAATTCCAGAATATACCTTCCTGCCTTTGTTGATATTGGAATCCTAAGTACCAACACCTTTGTTCAGAAACTCCCTGGAGACGTGGCCTAACACAGCACAGAGCTTCAGAGGATGTAAGCTTGTATCTGGAGTGCGTCTCTCAACTGGTTTGGTCTCACCTTCGTCACGGCGCACACGCAGCCGGAAGCCAAGCAGCGAGCCACAGCCTCCCCCCCTAGAGTTAAGGACCCCCCCCCCACCTCAGCCTCCACACACCTTGCATGCAAGCCTCAATCTTGTGGATCAGCTGGTAGGACTTGCAGCGGTCCAGCAGGGTCCGAATGGCAGGCAGCGGGTCCAGCACAATGGTCTCTGGGTGGGCCTCGATGTAATCCTATAACGAGACCAGGAGGACGGAGGTTAGGGAGTCAAACACACACACACACACACACACACACACACACACACACAGCTGATTACTTGAGAGCCAATGTCACAGAGACCCCCTGAACATTCAGCTCAGGAGGAACGTCCTGATCCACGCTTTGTTCCCGATTCCAGCACGGCTCTGGTTGGAAACCAAAAGCCGTCGCCGTCTCCCTGGGCAACGGCGCTGAACGCGGGCGGTTCATGCACATGGAGCTGATCCCCTTTCAGACGAGCGAGACAGCCTGGGGGGGCCTGGTGGCCAGGGGGGGGCGACAGCAGGGATCACGAAAAACGACAATGAGCAGATTTCGTCCCACGTGGGGATCCAGAGCGTCGCGAGCGATCAGCCAGGAAGCATCGGCGGCTCGACGGGCAGAACCGCGCAGAGTCACATGCTGTACATTCCTGTCAGAACCTTTGTTATTTACCCCCGGTGCCGCAGACAGACGCAGGTGACGACTCGACACTGAGCCCCCCCNCGCCGGGCTGACCCGATCCGCGTACGAGGCAGCTGCTACTGAAGAGGCCACATCAACCCCCGGAACGCTCCGGCACTCTGTATTCCTGTTGCCATGGACACCACACACATATCACTGCGGTCGAAATGCGGTCTAAAGCTTCCCATCAGCTAACCACGTTTTCTTCTCTGCAGCTCGGACACCGTATAAGGAGCAGAGAAATACTATTTTCCTTTTTTTTTCCCCCTTCTTGGCGAACCCTTTGGAGCGACCGCCTGACAGAGGCTCTTGTGCAAAGACATTCCAGAAGCAGCAGAGTTAACTGCACTTTGCAGCAGAAAACGGGAGACATACGAACGGTTCCATGCCCTGCGCTGGGCCCCTTTGTGAAGAGGTGTGGACTGTGGGCCTCCTCCGGAAGAACACCAGGAGTTGACGATAGCAGACTATCCGCTCACCCGCAGCGGAGCGGGGCGGGGCCAGGCAGACGGGCTCACCTGCACACGCTGCACCAGCAGCAGGGACTGCGTGTCGTTCTGGTCGGCCTCCAGGATGAGGTCGGTCAGCTTGTGGATAATAACGTCCAGAGGGCCCTGGTCCTCCAGGGGCTGGCTGAGGTCGAGCTGGAGAGAGAAGGGAACCGGCAAACATCACACATGGCCAAAATGCAAATACAGAATGGGTGACATCTCAAAGTCCGGGCCTGACTAACACACCCAGCTAAGGGGACAACATCCATGCGTCAACGTGCAGCCTAGTGCTGACAGCGAGGGCCTGCGGCTGTCAGGGATGGATCCGAGGGGGGGCTGCCGAGGGGGGGCTGCCAAGGGGGCGAAGGGGGAGAACGCAACACCACACAAAGTAGAGACTGTACTCCTTTTGTGGCTTAGCCTGAATGGAGCTGCTATGATTTCACAGAAAGGCCTGAGCCTGTGTGTTTTGTGCCTCTCTATAGAAGCCCATGATGTCACCGGTCTTTCTGTATACGGTGGTACGGCTCTCCCTCTCGACAGCACGCGCCGCACCGCACCGCACGCCCGTCTGCTACGCCCGAGTCAGTCTGTGGCGCTGACTCCCTGCTGCCTCCAGCTGGGCCTGACAAAGTAAGCGGGAGTGGTGGGGGTGGGGAGGCGGGGGGGGGGGGGGGGGGCTGGGCCCCGCTCTGTGCCAATGTGCGGCATTACGTCACCCGGGGCCACCGCCCCCACCTCCCGGATCTGCGTGGGGCTGAGCTTACATAACGTCGTCTCCTGCCGGAACACGCATGCGCACTGCACCCCCCCCCCACTTCACCCTTCATGTTCTGCGCAGACGATATTCCCATAGCCCCCCCCGCCCCCCTTTGTCATATGTTGCCTCTCTATCCTATTTTATCAAGCCCATGTGCACCGACAGACACACAATCAACGTACAGCGTACACACACACACACAAGTTGGTCTACCTATCTAAATGGGGACCGTCTATTCACCCTAATCCCAATCATGACACCCTTCACCTCTACCCACCCCTAACCTTAACCATAAGTAACCAACCCAAATACAAAACTGAGGTTATCCAAATGGGGACCTCAAAAGATGTCCCCAAAAGCAGGGAAATTTCAGGTTTTACTATACTTTGGGGACAATTTGGTCCTCGAACGTGATCTATGCAAACACAAACACACACACACACACACACACACACCACGTCAGCTTCCTCACTACTGAGGCTTCTACCACGGGCCGGTTACATTTATGCAAAAATAACCAAAACGCAAACAGTTCACGTTACGGCGTATTGCTGCAAAAGAGGCTACCGCCATGTAGCAACGCGTGCTACTTATTTACGGTGATGTAAGCGCACGCAAGACCTGCACCACCCAGAAGCTGCCTGCCTGGACGCCTGCAGGCTCCACAGGCCTTGCTAGAATATGGGCCACATGTCACCATAAAATCCATGGCACACACGCGGTGACAGGCAAATGGCACTACGCTTGGTAATCACGCGGTTGAACGTGGACGGGCTCAGCAAACACCATCAAGTGATGAGAAGCAGAGCCTCATTGGCTAACTACCTACCAGGATGTAGCAACCCTCATAGATCCACATGAAAATGTATAGAATAAAGATAATCTCTTTCCCCTCTATGGTAATAAAACCAAGAAATTGGAGATCTTATCAACAAAAAACAAAAATCCACTAACGTCGCTATTTAAAGCAGTACACATACCGCCTTCTGCCTGAAAGTGCTATAATTGGGCTTCTCAACTAGAGGTGTCAGACTTATCTCTCGAGAGGAAACACTAGTTATATTTCGGAAAGATGCCTCCAACCCATTTAGAAACTCAGATCATCCAATTTGGCCAAATGTGCATCAGTAGCCAATCAACACCTCGCACATGACCTGAGGTTACAGAGATGACAGAGGCCCCTTGCCCAGAGGGCACACTGACATAACGCCAAAGGCTGATCTATAAGCACGCTTCCTGCTGCCGTCCCGTACGTGACAAATAAAAGGCTTCGCTGGCAGCAGGGCTACCACAAGGCCCATGTGCTGTGGTTAGAATCTATAGAGACAGAGGGACCCAAGCAAGAATGAAAGTAGCAAGTCAGGGCTTTTACTATATGCTGATCATCACTGCTGTGGAGTTTAGGCTGGAGAAGTCAAGCTAAGTGCTACAAGCGATTAAAACCTAAAGAGGTGTGGGGGTTCCCAACCACTCTAGTAGCGAACCTAACAATTACCAGTTGATAAGAACAAAGTGAAAGATTCTTAACAGACTGGTCTTAACCACATCCCCAGACTGCTTCAGTGGCTCTGACAGGTTTAATGTTTAGAAATGTCTCACCAGGGCAATAGTGCTTCACAAAGTCTGGGGGTCTCCAGTGTCTTGGGGTTGGATGCTGTGGATGCTGTAAGCACTGACTTTCGATTTCTCCATGTGCAATGTTACTCAGCGCCCAGAGAACAGCCAAAGTCGTTAAAAAAATAAATAAATAAAATAAAATCTGCTTGTTGAATTCTGTTCTCTTTGGTAGGAGGTAGCAGCTCCAGGCCACGTGTGAATTTCCATGGCGCGAGATCTGAGGCGGAGCAAGTCACAGCGGCACCTAAGCAAGCCAGCAAAACTGCACAAGGCTGCTGAGATGAGTGACGGGGCCACTCGCGCCGGGCGGACCCGATCCGCGCGCGCCGGGCTGACCCGATCCGCGCGCGCCGGGCTGACCCGATCCGCGCGCGCCGGGCTGACCCGATCCGCGC